CCCAAATGTTACACACTGGGCCTTTTAGAAGTGAAACGGCTCTTCTGTGTCAACAATTTATTGATGACTCATCTTCAGGGCATATACAAACATGCCAGCCAATATAATGTGATTACAGAATTTTTGATGATCCAGGAAAAGCCTCCCATCGTGTAACACTAGTAGTTCTACCAAACTAAATGGCACTATGTGTATTTGAGTGTCAGTTTTCACAAACGTCGCCAGCAGCTCTCTCTTCTACTATAAGATAAAACAAATAAAAGATGTCCTGTCACGTGGGATTGAAAAAAAACATCTCTCATCTGTACTCTGAGATGGTGGACTCCTCCATTGTCTGAATCATTCTAAAACTTAAAAACACTCCACCATACTTCACCAAAACATCCCATTTAATGTAGGGAAATGCTAAATATCATTAAAACTATTTGACAATAATTTAGTTAAATTCAACATCGTCTGGAAAATAAGTCATTTTCCAATCAAATGTTTGGGAAACTGACCGGAGTATAAACTAAAGACACAACCCAGAGTGTCCAACAGTGCCCCCAAATTTGTCTTCCCAGTTCAATTCTCCCCAAAACATATCTTAGTTGCATAAAAAGCACAACATCAGTGTCAGCGCACACACCTTACAGTAGTGCGAGTGGCGGAAAACTTTTTGGCTTGATACTGTAGCTATCGTTTTTACTACTCTCTAGTGAGCAATAATAAAAGAATGAGTCAGGAGTCATGATTTCCAGTCCAGCAGCAACTGGAAAGACACACCTAGCCAAGGATCTACACCTCATTCACATTTGTCTCAGTCTGGTACAACCACTCTAGCACAACCCAAGAGTCATATCTATGAAAATCGACAGCAAACGGTAATGAAAAACGTGCAAATTTTATAGCTAATTAAACGTTTTAAAAATCTTTGCAAGGTCGCAAGACAGAGCAAGGTGCGATGCCAGAAGTACTTTAGTTTCACTTTCATTTTCTGACAGAGCTATTACACCAGCAGACCACTGACTAGAGAGGAAAACAAACTAGCAAATACCAGTTAAAATAGCAGTTAGCCCTCTCCAAAGGTGTGTGTGACCCTGCTGGACTCTGTGGGTCACCTGAAAAACTTCCTCTATAAACATCACAATGGTTTTGTGTGCGATAATCAGCATCACAAGGAGTCTAATAATGGTGGTTGGTTGGATGGTTTCTATAATATGCTGCATCAGGCCCCATTTAAAAAGTCATGGAAAATGACCCATGACGCAATTTTTCAAATGACTGCTTAAATGTGCAGAGTTGAGGAATCAAGCAGAGAAAAAAAGTGTGCACTTACCAGTTTAATAGCTACATACTCGTTGGTGTAGAGATTTTTGCCTGAAATAAGAAATGCATAAGGTTATATTAGACAGATTTGAGATATAAAGTACACTCCTTGAGGCTTTACAATTGGTTAACAAGGGTATAATCAACTCTATAAGTGGTGTCAAGATATTCCTGCACATTTTACAAGGTTCATATATAAAAAGGTCAATGACAGAATATGATCCAATCATGTTCCTTTTTTCCCAGTTCTACTATAAATATACACTCAAGTTTCATGGTACACTTAACCACAGATAATACAGTATAATACAGTCCTGCAAAAAATGCTTACCTTCATGAAAATGATAGTTATATTTTATTTAAACGTTTTGAGAGATTTTGGTTGAATATGTTTAATTAATTTATAGTGCTGTATTACATTACACTGAGAGATGTTTCCAATATTGAGTCACTCTGTGAACCGACCGTGAGTCATTTAAATGGGATAGACAAGATATTAGAAACATCTCTCCATATAATGCAATACAATTCAACAAAACTACTGAGTACAGTTAGACACAGAACCATTGAGAACGGCTATAAAAACTCTGAAATTCACTTCAATCAGTTTTTCCCTTGTGTCTTGAACCATTTAATACAAGATTTAGACTCAACTTACCAAGCTTCAATTCACCAAAGTTTCCACAGCCGATCTTCTTGCCCACACGAAAATTTGGCCCCACCATGAGAACCCCTGAAGAGCTGGAGGAGCCAGATGGTCGGGACGAGTGTCCACTGCGGCTTCCCTGGGAAACTTTGGCGGCCCTAGTGGGCCGCTCGCCATATTTATCTCTCTGTTGATCCATGGTGTGAGCAGCACAGGTCAGCGGGAGCCAGGAGTGATGTACAAAAAGGCCTCCTGGGCCGGGCCCACCACAGCCACAGCCCTGGTCACTGACAGTGCCTGGATGGCACAGTCACTCTCATGAGACAAAACCTGGTACAGCTAACCGACACTCCTCCCCGTCCTCACCCGTCACCTCTAACAGTTGTTGAACAGGCTGATCTCTGTTCTCAACATCTGTCACAGGAAGGAGAAGGTGGAAGACCTGTAACAAACACAATAAAACATGAGAAAGGAAAAAGACATTGACTTTCCACAGAGAGCAGCACATGGAACATGGTAGTGTTGTTCCTCGTGTAAATCTGATAAAATCCTACAACAAAATGTTGGCTTTCAGAATACAACTTCAAGAGGCTGATCTCTTTGTTTTAGCTTTAGTCTTTTTCTCTCTTACAAGCATAAAAAACGCCAACCAGAAAATTATGACATTCCGTCGGTCCACAGTAAAAACAACCAGGCCTCATGAAAACACAGGCACAGCAGACCTTGTAAATGCCAATTTCCACACTAAGGACCTTTAAGTCACGATTTTTAAAAACATGCCTCCCTGCCTTAAGAAGTGAACAGACAACACAATAAAGTAAATTAAACCAGAAATTGGGAGGCAGATAGTTTGTCATTTAAGTTTCACTACTGTTATGTGAAGAAATGTGCAGCAAAATCTGACAAAAAATGTCATTCATGCACTACACAGACAGTGAGGCATGGTGGGGCGGCTACATGGCCCTTTGGCTGGACATTCAATTTTAAGAGTTGAGAAAAAGCTCCATTTGCTTATCTCAACTCTTACCAAAGGTTTCTAAAGTAAAAATAAATATTCAGAGCCACATATGATGTCACCAGTAATCTCTGTAGTTTCACATTTTAACAGCTGAATATATTCTAAATTTAAATTCACCATAACATAGCAGGTTTAACACATTTTTGAAGCTCATGAGTCATGTGAACGCATTAAATCACTGTTTACAAGTATACAATGCTCAACGAGGACAGGACTGGCTTACTGTAACAGCGCCGCGGGGCTGAAGAGATAGTCATCAAGTCACAGTGGTCACAGAAAACACAGCAACCAGTTTGAGCAACAACACAAGCCTTAAGTCATAGTTTGTGATCATGAAGGCATCTAAGACTCTCCACCACCCACAGCTATAGCCTGGCAGACAATGTCAGCGGGGAATATTATGTAAACAATTATATAAAGCTACGTCTGCTCGGAAGGACACGATAGCTTAACTAAATGGACACTGGTCTGATTTTGTCAAGCGCTCAGCAAATAGTTTTTGATTCAACCTACCCCCTTGTGCCACAGGCAAGAAATGTGTAAATATTAAATGATGTGACTATAAGGGCACTTTGGTGTGCAACCAGTAAGACATATGATGTTTATCAACTGCAGGCCTCTCTGAGGACTTCCTATTTTTCAGCAAGTCGCTCTACTGAAGCTGCAAACAAAATGTTGACTGTAAATTAGGCAGATTACCAGTTACAAAGGTTATTCACCTCAAATATATATATATATATATATATATATAATCTATTTAAAGAAACAATTTTCCATTAAAAAAACAATATTTTATGTTTTCAATAAAAAAACAACAGCTATTAATGTTTTCATGACAATGCTGTAATTCCTGAGCATGGAAAGGCTGCTGTTGAAAAGTATTTGTGTGTGGGCTTCCGGATGACTCATGCTCAGTATTGCCTGCCACATCTCAGCATCAAAGACAGCTAGTTTGCTCTCAAGGGCAACTGTGCACTGTTGCTATTACATAAAACCAGGAACAGAACAACATGGCTATAAAACAGGTTTGCGGCAAAGACCAACGGTGAGCTGTAACAGTTTCCATTGTGCAAATAATCATTTGTAGGCCACTCTAATCCATCGTGCGTTGGTGTTCAGATTAGCTCAGCTACGTTTTTTTTCTCATGATTGAAGATGGGGGATGCAGGATAATAAACACACACCCAACCGGTGTTCAGCCCTTCACACCAGACTACTATCACTGATTTCCTGGTCGTCACTGCTGCTCACGTAGCCCAGAGTGCAACTGCAGATACACATCACTGCTAAACTACAGCACTGTAATCTTGATAAACAGAACATTCAGCTCATTTAAGTTGTTACTACAATATTAAGGAAATCGAAATCGAAAATTCAATAAGATTGTAATGTTTATTTGAGTATGGGATATGTTTTCAAATGTTTTTAACTGTAATTGGCTTCAAATCGTTCAATAAAAAAAGGTATTTTTGTAAATTAAGACTGATCAAACATTTGAAAACTTTTCTCATTTCCACAATAATGACATAAAAATATATTTAATATATTACAAGCTTATTTTGTTTTGAGACATAAGAGATAATTCATTGTTTAAGATGACATGGCCAGTTTTTTGTTTTTCTTTTGGTTTTAGTCTAGTTTGTTTGGAGCGAATTATATGCAAGCTTCACTTTAAATAGTGTTTTTTCTCCTCACAGCCTGAGAGCTATTTTGATGTTGAATTGCACAGTAATACTTTTGTTACAGGTGCTGCCCTATATGGCAAAAAATGTTGACAGACTTTGTACACAGTGTAAACTGAAAGGACATGTTTTTTTTATTTTCTGGAGACAAAACTGAATGTACAGTTTCTTTTCCTGTTTTATGCATCTGCTTTACTACTAGGCTAAGATCACCACAGCCTAAGTGTATCTTGAACATGTTCAGACATGCCTAAACTGAGGATTAGGATGGAAAAATAAAGATGTGGGACAAGAACTTCATTCTATCTAAGGCAGCAAAACTGTACTTCATGAAGGATAGCAAAACATCTGCAACCTTTAATTACAAAGGCGTATCGCACTGTAATGAGCCCCTAGGCATCATTCATCTACTTGTGTATCGTTTCCTCTGGTGCTCATTATTAAATATATGTTCATTTATTGAACAAACGCCCAAACTAGACCAAATCAAAGGGAAGGTCTTGTCACCCCATTCCCAACACACATTTTAGAATAGTAGAGTCACAATGAAATCTTGCTTCATTTACCTTACGGGGGAGGAGAAAGCAACATGCAATCCAATATAATAACCCCACAATAACTACTGCCTTTGTAAATGTTCAAAGCTGAAACTATGTTGGAGATGTTGAACTAACCCTACAGTATTGTTTCAGGGCTTACTAAGTGGCAGTGTTTTGGTGGATTGTATTATTTTAGGAGTTTTTTTCAAACTTGTGTGTGTGTATGGGATATGCAAAATAAATATCATGCTGTAACTGCATAGAATTTCAGTATATTACTGTTACTGGGCAATAGAAAACGTCTGTACACATGGCTTCTTCAGTTTTGATGTAGGGTGGGGAATCCCCAGCCTTTATCCCTGTGGAGGTGCCATGTCTCCTGATATATGAGTTTGAGGATACACACCTTTTGGCATCCTATGAAAGTAATTTAGTTTGTCAGAAGGAGAAGTCATGAAAGGATTTTATAAATTCATATCCCATTACAGATTTAGCTTATCGACCCTTAAGCCCAGTTCCGACCAAAGATTTG